TTGCAGATCCACCAGGGAGCGCAGAATGCGGCAAGACTCCGTGCGCTCTGTCTCGCTCATCCTTATGCGCTCCTACAAACCGGCTGCGCGTTCTAAAATTAGCCTCTCCAGCTCGTGCACATGCACCACCTCGGCCTTCTGCGCCACCGTGGGACGATCCGCTCTTTCCTGTGGCGTCGCGACCACCACGCCACGCTGCACGTCATTTCGGTGAAGTCCCTTCAGTCGGCGTACCGCCCCACCGCTGCTGCAGCTTTCAGGTCCCACCTGCTCACCAGTCACACCATTACGGTTTTGGCACATCTCCCCTCGCATTTCTTCTTTCAGTTAGGCAATGATTTCGCCAATTGCTATTGACCGTTCGCCTTTTGCCCCCCCCCCCCCCCCCCAAGGCGATCCATCATATCCTGGAGAATAAGGCGTCGGAACTCAACGAGGAGTGGGGCGCCACGCACGATCTCCTCATAAGGCTCGCCGTAATCTCCAGCCTCACGGCGCCCAGCAGAACCCCCACCACTACTCGCCGCCTCTTCCTCATCGTCCTCAATGGGGAATGCCCATATTATCGGCCCGGTTGCTGTTCTTGCACCGCAGGCGTCTTGAGGAAGAATAACAGCAACAGAAGAGGAGCAAGAAAAAGAGAAGCATAAGGGAAAAAAGAACTACACTCACCAATGAATCTGGAGAAAAAAGCTAGGCTTCGTGGCTTAAGCAAATTCGAACGTGTGGGTGGCGTCCCTGCGTCACTAGCAGCAAAAGGAGGCCAAAGACAATATGTAAATAAACAGTTAACAAGAAGGCTGCTTCGTTCGGGGTGCACATGTTGTAATTCCCTCTGCTACTTGCACTCCAGCAACTCTCTCACAAACTGGATGTGGTTTCCACTCCGTGGCCAAAAAATACGGCGTGCCGCGCGCGGTGTCTCGACACTTTTATGGCTTGGAGCGAAAAAGAGAGGAGACGGGTCCTCTTGCTGTAGAGGCGTCACGAGAACCCTGTCACCGCCAGCCACGCATAGCTACCTCCAAAGAGTGCAAAAGGCACTGTAAGGTGCTCTGCGAGCCGCTGCAGCCTCCTCTGCCGGCGCCGCATCTCGCGTTGTGCTTCCTGTTCCTGCAGAGTGGCCGGGTACGGCTGCGCGTGCGTGGTGTCCATCGGGTGTGTTGGTCACTGACTCCGCTATGTGTTGTCGGGGACACCACTGCCGGGCAAATGGCTCTTGCCATTGCCGTTTCTGTTAATCACAGTGAACGCAAGTGGCACCGCCATCCGCGTTGCCTCAGCATCAAGCAGGCGGCGCTCCCCACATCGAGAGGCCCCCACGACCGGTGGGAAATCGGGCCTTTGTGACTGCGGCTCGCCCCGCGTTTTCTGCATGTCGCGATTAAGATTCTCCCCAGGTAAGCTCGCCGTCTCCTCCATTACCTCCAAAAAAGTCATCGTAGTGCCCCGTGAGCAGCTTCGGTTCGTGTGCTGCTGCACGCACCCCATCAGCGCCCACGCCATGAGAGCCCTCAGCGCAGTGGTGCCGTAGTAGTAGACATTGTCGGTGCACTCCCACCTGGTGCAGGTACTCATGGCTTCCCTCAGCTTCATGACATTCCCCCCCAAGCGCTTCTTGTGTGCTGCCAAGGATCACGGCGTCACTCTCAAAATCCGGATCGACCAGCAGAAATTGCTCCCGGTGACTCATCGTCGCCCCCTCGAAGCCTTGCATCTACGCCGGGCGCCTCGTCAACAGCAGCTCTTTCCTCAGTCCCGCCCCAATGGGCATGCCATTCCCGTATTACCTCAGCACGACGCTGCCCTCACGGCCGAAGGGCCGCAGATTCCGCGGTGACTAAGATTCAAGGCATTTTCCCCCCCGTACGCAGAATCCCGCCTCGAGCCTCGCGCCGGTGGTACCGTGCGGCAAAGAGATAGAAACGCCGCGCAAATATTTATTTTATTTTGTTCCGCTCGCACACAGCAGCAAAAGGGAAACAACGGACCAACAACCACGCCGCGAGTAACAAAAAAAAGAATAGACGTTTGTTCATTGCTTTATTCGTCCTCTCCTTCCCTCGACCGCCAACGGCATTCGCTTGCCCCCCGCAATCCACCACGGGCAGGGGCCACACAACGAGCCCACAAAAGAAACACAGAAGAGCTCCACAAACAGACGGTGCTGCGACGCTGCTTGTGTGACAGCAACGCAAAAAGCGGGTGTGCCCCACACAACAGCCTCCAACGCACACAAAACGGGGGAAGGGTGGCGGAGGGAAGTCAGCACCAAAGATCAACAGAAATAGCATGAAGAGGAAACAGCGCACCCTCCATTATACCAGCATCAAATGCCATCGCTCCAGCAAACATCCTCCTCCCCAGACGGGCACACATCGTCACAAACCTCCAAACGCACCGGCCACACGCACGTCCGCCAGCAACACAGCAGCGTCACGTTGGAACGCCACACCTCCACAATGCCTCCAACAGCGCAGGCGCCATCACGACGCAGAGCATGTGCAAAACACCATCACAAACTGTAGAGTCGTCCTGCAAGAGAATGGGAAAAAAAAAAAAGGAGAATGCCGCTAAAGCACACACAGCTAAGCCACAGTATCAAAAGCCAAAAAGCAAACCAGAAGTGCACAAACCATGAGACAGATGGAATCAGTACGAAGGCAAAAGTCGCACAACGCCCCGCACAAAAAACAGAAAAAAAACATCTACGCCCAAGACCCAAAGTGAGCATCCACCCATCCAAAAGTATCCGTCCACGAAAACAGTCGTGTGCGCGTCAAGCATATGAGCGTTTCTGAAACACGTTCAACGTGACGAACGCGGAGAGCAACACGGAGCTCACAGCAGTATAGATAAAATAAAAATAAATTTAAAAAAGGCAAACCGTAAATTTTTCTCTGATAATACATCGGACCACAATGGACGCGCACATGTCCATGCGGCTGAGTGCTGACACTCATGATTCGCGCCTCGCCTCAGCCCAGAGCGGTGTACGCCAGCGCGGATGCGGTGAGCGCCAGCGGGGCAAACACCCACGCAGAGCTGCTGAGGCTGCCGTCATTCTTATTTGAGGAGGCTTCTGCTTCACCTGAAGAAGCTCCCGATGGAGATGGAGCTTCCCCTGCAGCTGCTTTCTTCTCCGTACCAGAAGGTGGGGTAGAAATAGTAGACCCACCATTCGCTGTCGTGCACGCAGATAGGCAGCAACACAGGGCAAGCGCCAACAGGGCGCACAGCAGACGGCACGTAGCCATTATTGATCGTTGCTATGAATAGCTTGGATGATGTTTAACTTCTTTTGCATTGCGGTGGAGCAGAGGAGAGAATGAAGAGAGATGCATGTTGACGGAGACGCACCCACGCACTTGAGGGTGAAGCGTCGGCAACACAGTTACAGCAAAGCGAAGCGAACCTCCTCAAAGGACGTACAGCTCCAGGAACTGCAGGTGTGCATCGCCAACTTATGCTCGCTCCTTTGCGCGCCGCTTCCTCAAGCCAAAACCCCAACGTGGTGGCTGTTTTGATACAAAAAAAAAAAAAAAAAAGAAACAAGGAGACGCACCCCCCAATGGGGAACAGAGGTGAAACAATAATAATGATAAGAAGGCAAAAGTCACACACCGTCTTCTTCGTTGTCTTCTCTCCGCTCCCTTATATTACTAGGAACTGTGACCAAAACAAGAGCGTCAGCGTAAGCCGCATGATGCCCCCGTCGGCCTCATATACAAGCATGCCATCAATCACTCGTTTGCAAAGGGCGTCTCCTTGATCTTCCATGTACGTTGCTTGGTCTCCGTGTTGACGTAGTAGAGGCGGCCACTATTTGCATCCCTATACTCCTTCCACGTCCCACACACCCGTAGCGCACCTTTTGTTTTTGCAGCGTTCCCTTCCTGCACTTCCTGCTGCTCCCGCTGAGGGGTTGCACCACCCTTCTTCTCTTCAAGAGCCTCGGATGGCGGCTTCCCCCTCGCCTCTTGCGTGGCCGTCTGACTGTTGTATTTCCACCCCGCCTCTCGCTGGCGCGGCTCCTCCCAGTTGCTGCACAACACGCCACCACCTTCTGCCGGTGTCGCTGCGCATGCCTCCGCCGTCTTTGTCGCGGCAGCAGCAGCGGCGGCGGCGGTAACTCCAGGGCAGGGGCTTCGCTCCACAATTGGCCGCGACTCGGTTGTGGCCGCCCATTCTTTTCCTTACGACAACCCCAGGCCACGCCGCCCGTCGCGGAGGACAGCACGCGCAACAAAAAGATCGACACACCGCACAAATGTTTGTTTTATTTTGTTCCGCCCGCACACAGCAGCAAAAGGGAAACAACAGACCAACAAATACGCCGCGAGCAACAAAGAATAGGCGTTCATTCATTACTTTCGCCGTCCCCTCCTTCTGCTGGCCGCCAACGGCATTCGCTTGCCCCCCACAACCCGCCGCAGGCAGGGACCATACAAAGAACCCACAAAAGCACCGCAAACAGACGGTGCTGCGACGCTGCTGGTGTGACAGCAACGCAAAAAGCAGGAGCGCCCCCACACAACAGCCTCCAACACACACAAAACGGGGGAAGGGTGGCGGAGGGAAGTCAGCACCAAAGATCAACAGAAATAGCATGAAGAGGAAACAGTGCGCCCTCCATTATACCAGCATCAAATGCCATCGCACCAGCAAACATCCTCCTCCCCAGATGGGTACGCATCGTCACAAACCTCCAAACACACCGGCCACATGCACGTCCGCCAGCAACACAGCAGCGTCACGTTGGAACGCCACATCCCCACGATGCCTCCACCAGCACCAAATACTCCGTCGCGCAAACACGCAAGCAGGAGCACATCAGCGCGAGCGTCAACAGGCCGCAGAACACACGGCCAGCATCATCACGAACGGTGGAGTCGCCCGACACTGTGAAGTCAACCTGCAAGAGCATGGGAGAGAACAAAGAGAGAAGCGGCCGCTACACCACGCACAGCCACCACACAGTAACAAACGGCAGCACCGCAGCCGCAGCACACACCACGACGCAGATGGAAACAGCACAAGGGCAAAAAAGCACAACGCCCTGCGGAAGAAACAACAACGAAAAAAAAAACAAAAGAAAAGGCAAAAAAATTAACATCAAAAAAAGAAAAAAAAAAAAGAAACAAACCCAAGGCTCCAGTGCGCATGCATCCACCCGCAACTATGTGTGTCCACGCAAACGGTCGTATGTGTGTCATACACATGAGTGTGACTGGGATGCCTGCAACGTGACGGAGGTGGGAAACAAAGCGTAGCACACAGCAGAGCAGCTGAATAAAATGAAAAATATGCAAATTAATCTCTCTTAATTACATCGGACCACAAGAGCCGCGCACAAGTCCCCGTGAATAATTGCTGGCACGCATAGCCCGCGCACACCTCTTTAGCCCAGAGTGGTGTACGCCAGCGCGGACACGGCAAGCACCAGCAAGGAACACACCCACGCAGAGCCGCTGAAGCTGCCGTTAGTACCGCGAGGGATCGACCGTTTGAGTTCATCCTTATTAACTGGTGCTCTAGTAGTCGTCATACTTGGCTCCTCTGTACTAGTAGCCGCAGTTTCTGTTTGTTCCCTTGTCGTGTCCGAAGGTTTAGGTGATTCTGTCGTCGTCGTCGTAGTAGTAGTAGTAGTAGTGGTTGGCGCTTTTGTTGTTGTTGTTGTTGTTGTCGTCGTCGTCGTCGTCGTCGTCGTCGTCGTCGTCGTAGTGGTAGTCGTACTGGTAGTCGTTGTGGTCGTTGTGTCATTTTCTTGTCCACTCGCTGTCACGCACACAGACGGGCAGCAGCACAGGGTAAGCACCAAGAGGGCGCACAGCAGACGGCACGTCATCATCATCGTGAGTGTGGTCGTTCAGTGGTGTGGAGCTGATCTGCACAGTGAGGGACATGGAGAGCAACAGGGGAGACGAGAGGTGCGGCAGACACACACAGAGGGCACACCACATGAGGAGAGGGCAGCAGCCAGGCATGCACCGTACGCCGCACACCAAGCACGACACACACTCCAATCCACGACAGCAGGCACACACACACACAGCCCTGCCGCAACACCAACACACAGATGGAAGAAGGAGAAGCAAACAGGAGCGGCACACAAGGCTCCACCGCATGCACATACGGCGAGAGCGGTCCGTCGTGTCGGCACCCCTCACGGAGGGTACGCACACACACAAGAGGAGGTGCAGCGCACACAGCAACACAAAAGCAAAGTAGCAATAAAAAAGGGGATGATCCCCGCACACCACGTGAATTGTTGGTCCACGGGAAGCGCAGTCACCACTGCAGCAGCAGACGCAAACGCAAGTAAAGACAACAAAAAAAAGAGTGGAGGTGGACTGGTAGACTGCGGTGCTGCTGTCAGTCCCATCGGTTATCCCGTTTGTTAGGGCTTCTAACCGACCGTGTTCTTTTCTTGTGGTTGACAAATTTCTAAATTCAACGTTTTCGGCATCGATAGAAACCGTCCCAACGGCTTCTAACCCATCAGCAGTAGTCTCGAAATTCCCGGGAATAATTGTTCTCTGTGCGCGTGTGGCGGTGTTCCACGAACTCGTGTCTCTACAACAATCTTCCAAACCCTCACGAACGGGCTTTCTCTTTTTTGCTCTTTAGCTCTCAAGGCAGAAATTGGCATTTGATTCCATGTTATTGAAGCCTTTCTGTTAAAAATTTGCTCTGTCGGGCCACCTCCCCGCCGTGTCTCTGTGCATCAGTAACGACACGGACATTTTTTCTTTGTTATTATTGTTGTTCTTGTCGCTCCACCTGGAGGGTTTGCCTCATCTTCTCTGGTTGTTGTCACGTCCCCTCCTGTTGTTTCTTTCCAATCGCCTGGTGACGCATAATGCGGGTATATTCATCAGACTTTACACCCACGCTTCCCCATTTTAATATCACCCGCGTGTATTGGTCTTCCCAGTGGGACAGGATGCGCTGAACACGGTCCTGTGGGGCAAAATCACTTCGGTTGGCGTTGAAATGTCCGCTCCTGCTCCCACTACTACTACTAACACTGGACTGTAAGCCGGAACTAAGTTCCCAACCCTCGCACTGGGAGCAAACGCCCACACCTTTTGTGTCGGATTCTTGTGAATGCGTTTTTGACGGGCAATCTAAGGGTGCCCACTCAACAACCCCAGTGCCCAAGTTTTTCGGCATCCTATCCGTTGGGACAAGAAGGGAGAATGCAGAGCAATCACATAACAACAAAGAAACAAAAACAACAACAACAACAAAAAGAAAAAAACGGAGGTAAATAAGACATTTTGTACGGCCGCTGAGAAATTTTTTTTTTCTTTTTAGGGGTAAGGAAGTGAATCACAACCGCTTCACAACATACACCAGCAACTTACGGTATTTCTCTATACGGCAACATTCTGTCGAAAACGATCTGAGATGACATTGTAAAGTGCCTCCCTATACTCTGCGGCAGGGTAATCCTTCTCATCTGGGAGTGGGAGTGAAACCATGGTAGCTTTGTTAAGTTCCTCCACATCACTTTCTGTGAAGAAGGGAGCAAAATAGGGATGTCGGAGAGCCTCCCGTGCTGTTATGCGCCGCGTAGGATTAAAAACAACAAGTTTGCAGGTAAGGTCCACCGCATCGGGGTCGTACTGGCGCAGGGTTTCATACAAGGGACAGCTTTCGACGGGGGGAAGAGCGTCCACAAGCGGCCATGTTTCACTCGATCCTAAACTCTCCAAATCGCCTGTTGTTGGTTCCCCCACCGCGCTAATGATGAGAGAAAGTTGATGCAGCGTTGAGCTCCCCATAAAAAGTGGTGATGACGTCAAAAGCTCACCCATGATGCAACCAACCGCCCACATGTCCATGGCGGCCGTATAATTCGCCGAGTTAACAAGTATTTCTGGAGCTCTGTACCAGCGAGTGGCGATGTAACCTGTCAGGTCACGGAATGCATCCTCGCCCTGAGACTGTATACACCGCGCAAGACCAAAGTCACCAAGCTTAATACGACAGTCAGAGTTCACAAAGATATTAGCC